AACTCACACTGTCAGACTGCCCCTATATGTATGTTTGCACATCGTTTGGTACTTACTTCTTGTTGCCCCTATAGAAATCCGTGCTGTGACAGTGACTACTTCCCGCTCCTGCTGATTGCGTCATTGTTGATTGTGCGTTTGCTTAATTCATGATGCTTACTAATCCGTCTGCGTATAATCTAATAGTCGCAATCGTCCTGTGAGATCCTTAACCGTCCGGATCTTACACCCATCGTTGTTATATAAGGAATATATAGCGTGGTGACTGCATTTTCCACAAGCTCAAAAACCCGCTCAATTTCTGACGAGCTGGTAACCACAGTTTCCCATTGTAGTAAAGCTGTCAGACTGCAATCACCAGTAGTTGAATAGGGAGTGGGCTTTCGTTGTCTCGTTACATCCTATGACAGGTGGTCATCACATCACGTGACCAACAGGTCACAGTTGCAATCAGAAACCTCCAAAGTTTACGGGGTTAAATTAAGCTGATCGAACAAGTACACTTATTTGCAAATCAATTTGGTTTTCACGGGAGACTATTGAATCTCTTGTTTATGACCGTTTCTAAATGAATGTACCGCTTCATGTTTCCGATATTCGGGGTCTCACAGTATATTTACATGAGCCCCAAGAAGGTAGGGTTCAAGTAGAACATAAGATAACGGGAACTCGTGGACTGCTCCCAACTGATGAGTGCCAAGAAGGGCGAGACCGGTGGTGGGCTGTCGAAGAGTTTTCAGCAAACTTGTGAGTAGTTTATTTTATGAAAATAAATTGATCGAACTTTGTCCACGCCAGTGAGACTCTGGCACACCGACTTGGAATTCCAGCCCCATTCAATTCCAAGTTCGAAGGATAATGAGAGACAGACAAATGAGGAACCGTTTAACGGCACTCAGACAGAAATGAGTGCGAGGGTAATTCTTGAAGAAATGAAAAGATTTCTGATGGTTGACTAAAGGGATAGTAACAGATGACGCAGTTTATGCTTCCCTTTAGCAACTGTGTGACGACCCACCCTCCTCCCCAGAAAATTTTCAGATACTGGCTGCTGACTTAATCCACAAGAAGGAGAACAACACTTGAGACAAACATCCTCGAATCGGCTTCACCAAAAAGCCCACAGAATCGTGTGAGTAATGTTTGCAAAGTCATGGCAAAGCAGCTAGGCACCGAAAGGGTATTCCAGCTGAACGGTTTACTAATGCTATCGTGATGCGATGGCTTGGGCTGAACGGTTACTAATGCTATCGTGATGCGATGGCTTGCGAGTCCCAGCAGACAACTGAACTTAAATGGACGATGCCCAAGTAACCCTTTGTCAGAGCGTCTGGTAACCTCATGAGTAGTATGTTACGTCTGCAAAATGTATTTCTATATATCGGTGCACCACGTTCACCCGGAGAGTATCGTAAACAATGGATTCAGCGGGGGTTCTCGTGAGTGTCCCGTGGAAACCAAACGGGTGTATTTGTTTGGCCTACGAGCGATTTTGGGCACAAAAGCAAGGGCTGCACTCCATACCGGTTTGAACAATGGGACGAGGCTTTGCTCAGCCCAATCATCCAAACATCTAGAAGTATCACGCGGAAATCCCCTCAAAAGCGGTTAGCACAGTGACAGTAAGAGCGCTGTTTCTTCCAGAGATACTACCTTTGACTCAGCACCAACACACCAGGATGTAAGTCTTCGCGTTTAGGTGTGGGAGCTTGACAGAACGTTTTTGACAAAACTTCCGGTGTTCAGAATGTCTGTGAACGTTGAACATAGCATCCAGGCACTCTACCTTCGCAAAAAGTATGGCCGGTGCATCAAAAGAAATTACTTGGTTGTGTAGCGTCCACTTGCTGTTTTCATTACAATCGATGCTTTAAACTAATAGGTAACAAAATTCCGTAAAATATTCCATGTTTGTTCCAGAAATTCTTTTCCAGAAAGCCTTCAGTCTAACTCTGCTCCCACCAAAGGCTTTGGACAACATCGAAGGCAGCTGCTTAATACCAGAAACTGCAACTCAGGTTGCTACTGAACATATCTGTTTAAATGTAGCATGACAAGATGGGGATCCACCGAAAATCTGCCAATAAAATCTACCCGTAACTTGTATTTATTGGATGACTGGCTGGTTATTTCGCTACGATAAACAACCGTTACAAGGGGGACGCCCGAACCCGAACAGGGGAATTTTTGGCGCGAAATTTACGAAGTACCTCCTCGAATTTTCTTCTATTTCGGCGGCTTCAAATAGTTTAAAAGTCGTGTTTAAGCTGATTTTTG